AGACGCCACCTGCAGCACAGATGCCGTATGTCCTCACATCCTGCCTGTCAAATCCATCTTTACCCCGCTCTGGTAAGTGGAGAGAGACTGGCAGTCATTTCTGCAAACCTAAAGACTTTCTGAAGCGTGCTCAGAAGGCATATCTGTGACAGTGCCGGAGCAAATCACAGTCCCCAGGAAAGCATAGCTGGCACGAGGGCAGCTGGCCCTGCAGCACGTTGGTGGCTCTCCCAATGACACCGTCATGATTCTCCACCTCTGCTCTTTTGCAGACATCACTGGGCAGGGAGGAGAATCTGCTTGATGCCAAGAGAACCATTTTTCTTGCAGCCAGAGGACCTGCCTTGGTCTAGAAAGATAAATTCAGACAGGCCAGGCACACAGGAAGAAGACTTGGGCAGCCAAAGCAGCACAAAAGAAACAGCAGGTAGACACCGCCCCCCTGGTGCCAGAGGGACAATGAAGATGGTGAGGAGGGAGGACCATTCCTGGGACAAGGGAGAGGTGCAGAGATAACATGGAGAGAGATAAGTACCCCCAGCACATGAGCCCAAGCTAAGCCGTGGTCCTGGGTGCTCCGAAAGAGTCCATGCCCACCAAGTGAGCAGCAGGGGCAGAGTGGGTGTCTTCTTCCCTTTTTTCTGCTCTTCTTTCTTTTGAAATGTTCTCGCTATGTGGTCCAGGCTGGTCTTGAACTCACTGTCACTATGGAGCCCAGGCTGACCTTGAACTCCGCTGGTCCTCCTACCCCAGCCTCCTGAGTGCTGGGATTACAGGTGTGCACCACCATGCCCAGCTCATCTTCCCTTTTTGAACACTGCACCTCAAAGAAAGGACAGAGTGCGCGGATGAACGGAGTGAATTGCGAGCCTTGGTGCAGTACATAGGCATATCCCTGAAGTTTGATGGTGAAGGAGTGTGAGGGGGCTTTGGCTAACCTCATGGGTGGCCCCAGGCTTGCTTAGCGCCTCCACCAACAGAATAATGTGTGGCTTCATCACGCTTTTGAGCATCACCAGCAAACCAGCCCCTGCCAGCCCCTTGGCACAGACCAAGAGGGTGGCACCACTGCGATAGGCTGCAGGTACGGCACTACAGTGAGGTGCGGGCATAGCGCTGGCTTCTTTCCAAAGGGAAAAAACTAACCTGCCATTCAGGGTCCACTGCCATCTGGAAGGAGCATAGCCTGCCCCAGGCCGGGATACTCTCCTGGCTGGGGAAGATGGTAGCAGAGAAAGGGTGTGGTGGGGGCGGTGGCCTGGAGGTTCTCAGCAGGTCTGCCCCATTCCTGTCCTCAAAAAGACTTAAATCTCTGGGACTCGTTTTCCGTATTGTGTGGCAGCTCCTGGTGATCATGTCACCCTCTGTTCATCAGTTTGGGGTTGCAGGCTGTGGCCCAAAGTGTGAAGAGAGGAGACCAGATGCTTACGTGGCTAGAACTGGTACTGGGAGGCCGACGATGCCAATGTCACTTAGGAATGATCCCCATTTCCTCTGGGAATGGGTTTGATTCTCCCCACTATTGAGCTGCCTGCTCCCTCCTCTTCTCTTACTTCCCCTTTACTGTCATAGTCCAAGCCAAGGGTTAGGTGACCTCAGAGAGAAAGGCCAAAGATTCAGAGGTGCAAAAGTGCACCAGCGAAGCAGCTTCGGGGATGCTCCTCCTCTGGGTGGGGAGGGTGGCTTCCCCTCTCCAGCAGGTGAAGGACCCATGTGGAGTTACCACCCCAAAGTGCCAGAGTCCACCCCCTCCTCCCCACCAAGGCGCAGCTGCTGGCCTGGCATTGGAGCGGCTCCTCTCCGCCTGCCTCCTCCCCACTTCCATAGTGTCCAGGCCCCTCAGGCGCAGCCTTGATTCTGTTTCTCGACACTTCCCATCCTCCAGTCCCAGAGGAGCACACCTCAGCCGGTCTGCCTGTCTCTGATGGGCTCTGATTCCACATGCTGCCTGTGGGCCCTGGAGTTCTAGGAGCCTTGGCAGTACACAAAATGGAATGGGCCTTGCTCGTTAAGTGGTAGGAAAAATTCCAAATTAGTAGACCAGTCTCAGAGTTTAGCTAGCCTGGCTGGAGCTCCGCCACGCATAGTTAGGAAGAAGTGTCTCCCAAGAGACGGGTCAGCTGCTGTGCTGGTCCAGATGTGTGGGCCGCACACACCTGCACTCTTGTGGCTGCCCATGGAAACGTTGCAGCTGGACATTGACGTGGGCGGAGAAACACAGGCTGTGCTGCAAGTGTGAGGAGCAGTCCGTCCAGTGCTGGGGTCTTTGTCCCCGACAGGCATCATCCCTCCATCTACTCGGTCCTGAGTACTCAACGTGCACTCAGGACACGGTTCATGGCCCTGCTGTACTCAACCCTCTTACAACAAGAGGCAGGTCTGGAACACGAAAGCCCTCGTTTCCTTCCCGAGAAGGCTCCTCACCTGTAGAGTACCTACGTATTCACAGCAACGCTTGAAATTTGACTTTTTTTTCCCTCAGGAGATTAAGATCAACAGATTAGAGATTAAGATCAACAGATTAGAACAAGCATAAAAAGTTAAATCAAAAAAAAAAATCAACAAAGGCTTTTTTTTTTTTTTTTAAGTCAGGGTCAGCAAGGTATGGCTCCGGTGTTCTGAGCTTTGTAACATGGGGTTCTTAGTACACTTTTAAATTTACCACACAACCACCTTGAATATCCAACCCCGTAGTGTCAGGTACAATCCCATTGTTGTCTTTTTCTCTTGCAAAACAGAAACTCTGTATCTATTTCCTTTCTCTTCAACCCTGGCAGCCACAGCCCGACCTTGTGCTGGTATGAATAGAATCCTACCGTTCTTGGTGCTAGATTTTGTTTCTCCTCGCTGCTGTGTTTGACTTAGCGCACCGTCCTCAGCTTTCTTCCACCTGTCAGAGTTCCCTTCCTTTTGGGGTTGCATCGCCTTTTGCATATTTATCCTGATGCTGGGCATTTGGGTTGCTCCCACACTGGCTACTGCAAGCAGCGCCGCTGTGTACGTGGCTATGCAAAGATCTCTTCAAGACTCTGATTTCTGTAGAACAGAGTTAAGGAATGGGCCTAGAAGAATCCTATTCCGTAAGGTCACATAGTGTTTCATCCTTTATTGTTTGGGGGGAAAAAATCAAGAATGCAGCACTGTGTTCACCTGTTTTATGGTGCTGAACCAGAATACCACAATCTGGGTGAGTTATAAATACAAGAAACTTATTTTCTGCAGTCTAGAGGTCAGAAAGCCCAGAATCAGGTACCAGCACCTGGTAAAGACTTCTTGCTGTGTCCTTTGGCATGATGTGAACAGGAAGTGTACAAGCTCAGATTCTTCTTCTTGTTGTAAGACCACTAATCCCATTGTGGGGTCCCCCTCCCTTTTGGGTTCATCTATACCCCGCTCTGAGACCCCATTTCCAAATACCATCAGCATATGAGTTGGGGGATGAAGTTTCCAACACAGAAACTTCCGGGGACACCTTCAGCCACTGCAAGTGCTAATTCCACTGGGGAGTACTGCAGGTGTCTACACATGCTTGCTCTTCAAGAGCTGCGGGTGGTGAGCTCCAGCAAGCCCTGCTTAGAGAATCACCCTGAACTAAGCAGTAGTGACACCGAAGAAGGGCAGGACTTGCAATTACCTTATGGATTTCCTATCACAGGGACCCTTCCCCAGGCCAAAAAGGGGAGAGACTCATCTTGTTTGCCCTCTCCTGTGTGCCTTTCTCCCTGGAAAAACTCTGCAGCTAATATCTGTGATCCTGTTAGCTGCAGAAGAAGGCTAGAGGCTGAGAAGTTGCTAAAATAATTTCATGGGGGCCAGAGATGTAGCTCAGTAGCATAAGCGCCTGCCTGACTATTGCAAGGTCTTGAGCTCGATTCTCAGTGCCAATAAAATAAAATAATTTCAGGAGCAAGTTGATCAAAGAAATGATCTATGAATACATCTTAGAAAAAATGAGCCCTCAATAAAACTTTGAAAAGAAAGAAAAAAAAAAATGAGCCCTGTGGACAGATGGTATTTTCCTGCCCCAAACAGCATCTCTTTTCATGCCCTTTCATTGTCTGCAGGTGTGTAAAATCTACATTCTCCATCATCTGGCATTCAGATACCTAAGGCTTCCCTTTCAGCTCGAAGGTGATTGGGGAGCCGAAGTGCTAGCATTCAAACCTCCTGCCAGGAGGAAAGGGACTCTGGTTCAGGGACCAAAGCACAAGTTATTCATTTCATCTTTAAGAACCCCGAGACAGAGACCTCCATAGCCCCCCAGACACAAGGTCCCCCAGCATTAAAGAGCCGCTGAAATCAAATGCACATCCATCACAGAATAGCAGGGAAGGGGGGGGCGAAGGTGACAGATGCTGACGAGTGAATGCACACCTTTGTGCTTCTGCCTTCTTAAAATTCATCCCCTCACCTGCCAGCCTGCAGAACTGCCTATTTACATAACTAGCTGCCAAAAATGGAATGTGGGATAATGGTGCGTGGTGGCTCCCGCCATGGGAGCCCATCCCTGGGATCTGAGTGATCCAGATGCCCTCCGACTGCACGGAGCGTGCTGTGCTGGCCCGAAGCCATGCCTGCACGTGGTGTCATCTGTCAGCCCTCTAGAGACTCGAGGGGGTGGGGTGCGCTGTCAGCAGAGGACAGTCAGTGTCTTCCAGAGCTTCGCAGCAGGAGGCCTTGTTCTGCCCAAGATGCTGTGTGAGAAACGACCCACATGGCCTATGGAGGGGGATCACAGATCCATGGGGACAGCCTTGCACACAGGAGGCGATCTGTCTGCTCTGATGCCATCCTGGGCACCATGCCAGCCTCACACCCCCTTGGGTCCCTTCCACAGCACAAATCTCTCCCATCAAAACTGGAATCATACTGCTCGCTTCTAGGAGGAGCATAAATAAGTGATAAGGAAGTGCTCTGATAATGATAAGCGGGCATAGCTTCTCAGCAGACCAGATGTATCAAAAAAGGCAATTGTGTGTTTTTGTTCATTTATTTTTCAGCGTTCCGGTTCCTGTAGTCAGTTTAGAGAAAATCCCTAACCTAGTGAAGGCAGATGGTGCCAACGTCAAAATGAACTCTACAACCACTACTGTGGTGACCTCCTCCTCCTCCACCTCCTCCTGCACCACTGCCGCCAGCTCCAACCCACCTTTAATTAAGCCTGTCCTGATGTCCAAGTCAGTGCCACCCTCACCAGAGAAAATTCTAAATGGCAAAGGAATTCTGTCGGCCACCATAGACAAGAAGCACCAAAATGGCACCAAAAACAGCAACAAGCCTTACCGGAGACTTTCAGGTATGTGTCAGTGTCTTTAGCGTCTGGCTCCTAAGACTAAAGTTGAGCCCAATTTGTAACCGAGTAGTAGCATGTTCTTATAATCAACCAGCTGTTTGGCTTTGAGAGGGATGCGGAGTTTACCTGCAAGTGGGACCAGCCTAAAAGCACAGGGCAAAACTGTATCTCTTACTCCTCAGAGCTGGTGAGCAGGTGGCCCTCCCTGCAAGGCCTTATCATGCTGACAGGCACCCGTCCCCTGGCTCTCTGGATTTGTCACTGCTGTGAAGGTGGACAGTCCACAGGGCTACCTCACGATGGCTTGGGGCACAGTAGGACAGCCCAATCAGCAACGTGCCACACAGAGATACAACCTCTGTCCCTGGTCCAAGCAGCTTCTGCAGTTAGGATACAACTGCCCTTTCCTTGGGATGCATTTGGAATTCCCAACTAGGAAGGCCCAGTTCAGCTCAGCAGGTAGGGAGCTGGGAGGTCAGCCTGGGGCCCCCTCTGTGACTTCTGCACACAGCCAGCCACTCTTCGAAGTGACAGCTGCCCTGCTAGAGGCCCCGAGTGGGTGATATTTGCTTTGGCTCTGTTGTAGAGCTAGACCTGGCAGCCGCTCCCTCCAAATGAGCAGGAAAAGCTGTGACTGCCTGGCTGTTCCACATACACCGTAGGCATAGCTAACGGTGGCCAGAACAATCAAAGTACAGGCAAAGCTGCCCCTGAGAGAGAGGCCATCTTCTGCCATGAACATGTTTTTAAAGCACTCAAAGAAGTGTGGGCAATTTTTAGTTTCTACTTCATGTTTATCTGTGTTTCCAGTTTTTCCAGCTTATGTCTGTAACCCTTGAAAAAATGATGTCTTGAAAGTAGTTCAGGGGCTGGTGAGATGGCTCAGTGGTCTAAAGCACCTACTTAGAACAAGCTTTAGCAAAAACCCAGGGACCACAGTTCAATCCCCCAGCACCACATGCCAGCCAGCCCGCCCCCTGGTGGGCTGAGCTGGCCACACACACACACACACACACACACACACACACACAAATAAATAAATAAAATTAAAAAAAAAAAAAAAGAAAGAAAGTAGTTCAGGGCCAAAGCATCAAATGAAACAGGTGCTGTGGCCCCAACACCCCTTTTTTGCACCCCTTGCCCACTCTGAGCATTGTGGGCCAACCCCCAACTCCTAGCTTTCTTCCTGAGTGGAAAATGTAGCCTCATTCTATAGGCATGTGTGGTAACATCCCTGGAGGGGGAAAAAAAATAGGCCTGGACCCAGTGTCCAGAGGCTTCGAGTTCCTCATCAAAGCGGAAGCCTGGCTCTGGCTCCCAGCTTGCACCCAATCTGAAGTTGTGTGGCGGTTGGGAGAGGGTAGTTGCCTTCTGTTGGTTATCTTGTCTTGCTGGGTCTTCTACTTGTTTCTCCCTTGCTGTCTCATTTGGCAAACAGCTCCTGCCCTCTGCCAGAAATCCCTGTGAGTCCAGATCTGGGCCTAGGCTTGACTCTCACAGGCCAGAGGGGAAGACGCCCCTAGGATCCTGGACAGAGCACCCAGGCACCATGGCCTGCTGAGCACAGACCTCCAGGGAAACAGCAGCTCCTGGCCTCGCAAGGCAGAAACAGGAACGAGCAGGGAGGAGGTGTTCTGCTAGCCTTGGGTGTAGAGGCGATTCTGGCAGATGCCATCCTGCCTGTTGCTGCCTCCTGCTGAAGCCCAGCCTGCCCTGGATGGGATGCTTGCACTCCGGTGCACAAGTAGGCAGTTTGCAGCCAGGTGGCCTCCCTTGAGTTTGCAGCCATCGAGGCCCCAGGCCACACCAAGGCTCTGTACCCCTCCTGCTAGGAGCCGCTGCCACACTGTGGTGTCCCTGCTCTGTGGAAACAGCAAAGCCACCCTAAGACCTAAAGGGGCCTTAAAAGACTGCCTTGTATCCTTGCATTTTCCAGGCCTCATGAGGTTTTTGTGGTCATCTCAGAAGGAGAGAAGGAGCCGCAAAATAAAAAGAGCAGTTTCCCTCGAAGCAGGCCCTCAGCAGGAGGGCAGGATCTGAGGAAGCCCAGCCTTGCCCTCCTGCCACCTGCCTCCTCAGGGGCAGTGGCTTATTCCCCTAAGGTGCTTCAGGGCCAGGTCCAGGGCAGGGCACAGGTGCGGCCGTGCCAGGCTCGTGGCAGCCTTCCCCACAGCCTGCCTGGGACAGTGCTGGTGTGTGCCTGAGCCAGGTGCCCATGTTTCAGGTCTGAGAAGCTTCGCGGAGGGCTGTCAGACCCAAGAGAGGAGGTTGGGCTGACCTGTCAAGGAGCAGTCTGTCACTGAAGTGGCCCTGAGTCTAGGTGGCTGTCCCTGCAGCCACTGTGCCCAGAATGCCAAGCAAAGTGAGACCATCTCAAGTGAGCCCGAGTGTCAACAACAGCGCAGCACCTGCCCTTCTGGTGCCTGCTCTTGCCTTGTTCACACCCCGTGCTGGAATTACGAACTCTGGGTTTCAGGGGGACCACTATTTTCCTCTGAGCAGTTCCTGAAGCATTTTAGCAGCCGGTGGGGGAAAAAAAAAGATTGCCTGACAATGTCTCACTTGTTGGTGCAAATGTGCATTTTTTTAAGAAAAAAAAAAATGTAGTCTTAATGCCAAATCCTATTTAGTCTCCTTTTTTCTTATATTTTTTGTTTGTTTCTTAAACCAGAGAGAGAATTTGACCCAAATAAACACTGTGGAGTATTGGATCCCGAGACAAAGAAACCTTGCACAAGATCCCTCACCTGCAAGGTATTTCTCTTTCCATGAAAAATACTTCCTGCTCTCACTGGGGCCTTTGTCGACGTGTTTGCATGCCACTCTCTGCACACGGCAGGGTGTGGAACCTCGACATGACCTCCAGCTGCTCTCTGTAAGGGAAATGCTTTCTTCTGGTCCACGGTAGCAGAGTGCCTGGTTTTTTAAGGAGGAAAAAAAAAAAAAAAAAAACCTAGGCTTCCCCTGTTACTTGGGAGGCCAGACAGTAAATTGTATTTATAGGCACTCACAGGCGGTTCTAAAGCCTGCTACGTTTTAATGTATGCAGGAGCGGTGGCGGCGGCGGCGGCGGCGGCGGCGGAGGCAGCAGCGGCGGTGGTGGTGGTGTGGTGGTGTGGTGGTGGAGGCAGCGTGTGGCAGCAGCGCCCTGAAAGGCAGCCCTGGAGGGGAGGATGCGCTGCCACACCCCTGATCCAGCCTGTGCTCGGCTGGCCTGAGGGACCCAGGCCTACAGTGGCTGCCAGCCCGTGGCCCGGAGCCCATTTCCTCCCGAGCTGCTGGCTCCTGGAGACGGAGGCTGTGGTCCTCTCCACCTGGTGGTTCTGTCTGTCTGGGCCAGCGCCACCTCCCACTTGCACCTGGATTCACCCTCGCGTCCCCTCCTAGTTGCCTCTCACCAGAGAGGTTTTTGTGGGTTTGCACTGAAGCTCGGGCATCTCAGGCGATTTTTTAAAAGAAGCTTTGGCTTCTTCACAGCAGGAGCGTAGGGCCTGGTTGTGTTTGCGTGGTCTCTGCCTCTTCCCAGCCACAGAACAGGAGCTGTTGCCTTGAAGTTGACTTTTCAAGCACCTCTAAATTCCTTTGGTTGCTATTTCTGAAATGCAGGGCCTGGGGAAGCAAGTTTATGTGCTGATCAAAGAGGCTGTGCTTCTCCACTCTCTCTTCTCCTTAGACACATTCGCTAAGCCATCGGAGGGCCGTCCCAGGCCGGAGAAAGCAATTTGACCTCCTCCTGGCGGAACACAAAGCCAAGTCCAGAGAGAAAGAACTCAAAGAGCATCTCCTGACTTCCACAAGGGAAATATTTCCAAACCAACCCGGGCTGGTGCAGGACTCACTGCCGGGAGCTTCAGGGAGCTCGGGGCCAGAACCAAAAGTTGCATCCCCTGCAAAACCCAGGCCGCCTAACTCTGTAATACCCAGGTAAGCCCTGCATCGCACCAGAAGACCTGAGCCCTTGGCCGAGGGACTTTATGTTGCTGGGTGTGGGGTGTGGGCTTTGATCATGTGTGGTTTGTCCATAAAGACAGCCTGAGTGCCACCACACATGGCACTTGTGAAGTTTAAATGAGACTGTATGCCTGAGGGACTGAGCCTAGTGACTGCCACTTCCTGTGCAGTGAACTTTACTGCCAGCCTCATCCTTGTCACGATAGTATCAGTCTTCATAGCACACCTGTTCTCTGACAGTGAGTGTTTTTAGGGAGCGAGAGTGAGCCGGAAGTTAAACACCCAGAAGGGTGACACATCAGCCACCAGACAGCTTCCTGGCTGCCTGGGGTTTTGTATTCATTGAAGCTTCCTGGAGCAGAATGGGGAAGCCTGGATAGATGGGCAGGCAGCGCACCTTGTGAGCTCACTGGACCGTGCCAGCCTGTCTGTCGTAGTATTTTGTGATTTATCTTCCACAAATGTCCTATAATCAGAGCGAAGAAAAGTGGACATAGTAGAACGTGAGTATTCTTACATTTCTGTCCATGCCAAAATGTTGCTTTTCAGAGCCACCTGTTGGGGGTTTTAATTGGTTATCCCAAACAGAAAGGAAAGGACAGAAAACAGCATTAAAATCCACTCAAATTGAAAACAATTTAAAATCTGTGCATGCCTTTTGAGGAGCAGTAGAGGTTCTGTGTGAGGTGCTTTCAGACAGCAATAGAGAGATAGTACTAAACTTTCAAAAATATAGTGTTGAAACAGGACTGGGTAGCTAGCTCAGCAGCATAAGCACCTGCCTGGCAAGCACCACTGTCTTCAGTTTGATCCCCAGTACCAAAAAAAAACAAAAAAACCCAAAAAGCTGTAGAGTTGAAAAAGTGAGATAAGATGCAGGTATCCCCTGGTTTGTCTAATTAATACTCCATGAGAAATACAGATCCGTGTATTATCTGATGACTGTCACTGTTTTCAAAGGGTAATTGTCCAATAAGTAAAAAGACTTTCAGAGAATATTTTGAAGAAGAACAGAAAGTTGGATTTTAAAGCAGAAATAAATATTTGATGGCAGTTGTTCCCGGCCTGCCAGCCTCTCGCTTGCCTGGTGCACTTGGCACTTGGCACAAGCCTGAGGGTGCCCGGCAGCACAATCCCTCTGTGGTGATGGTGGAGCCCATAGTCCATGAAGGGGACACAGTCGGGAAGCTGCCACCTCTCCGCTTCTCCGTCATCAGAAGCTTTCTGTCATTGCTGTTCCTCACATTATGGCATCATCGACCTCCATTGCTGGGTGTTAGATGAGGGTATTGGCCTCAATTTAGGACTGAAGAAATCATTCTGCTCCTGGCTTCTGGGAGGGCTTCAGTTCTACATGCAGTAACCCTCCGTCATCCAAGACCCCCAGGGCCACCTGAAATGCAGCAAGTACCAAGCCCTCTAGATACTGTTTTACCTATACATACATCCTTGGGGTAAAATATATAAATTAGGCACCATAACTAGTAATAAAATATAAAAATTATGCTAGTTGCGGTGGCACACACCTAAAATCCTAGTGCTTGGGAGGCTGAGGCAGGAGGATTGCTGTGAGTTCATGACTATCCTGGGCTACCTAGCAAGTTCGAAGGCTGAACTGCATAGTGAAACCCTACAAAAAAAAAAAAAAAGGAATGGTTATAACAACATACTACAATAAAGTTGCCACCATTGCCACCCTTGTGCTCTGAGCCATGGTTAAATAGAGTTCTTTGAATATAAACATTGAAATACCGTGATAGTTGATCTAGTAACCAAAACAGCTGCTAACTAACAAGGGTGTAGCATATAGAGTGTGGAAACACAGAAAAGGTATGATTCGTGTCCCAAGTGGGACAGAATAGGGTTGTGCAAGATTTCATCACACTACTCAGAACTGTGAGTTTTATGAACTATTGTTTTTGTTTGTTTTTTTTTGTTTTCCATTTAGCATTCTTGGACATTAGTTGACCATGGGAAACTGAAACAGCAAAGGGGAACTTATAGGTAGTGACTTCCAAATTCTTTGTAGCTATGGAACATTTTTCACTGCAGCGCAACCTTCCATGGGCCCAGTGTGAAAGCAGACTTGCCCCTCCCAGTCTGAGTCTCTCTTAGCCCTTCTCCTGTCACCCTCGCACCCACAGCCACTGTGCCCTGAGTTTATATATTTTATCCCAAGGATGTATGTGCCCTTAGTTTAGTTGGGACGACATCCAGCACAATCAGAGACTTGCAAATGCATGGTCAGAATTTACTATTGGAATAACATGAAATGCATAAAAATAGGCGTTTATTCCTATGAATGACACATAAAATAGTTCTTCCTGGGGATGTGGCCCAGGCATTGAGTGCTTGCCCAAGGATGAGCAAAGCCCAGCTTTGAGCAAAGCCCAGCTTTGAGCCCCAGTAACCCCCCCCCCCACACACACACACACTCATCTTATTATCTCTGATTGGCAAGAAAGAAAGAAAACTATCACACACGAGTGGGATAATCTTGCTCCCTTCCCCACTATGAATTTCCTCTACAGCAAAGGCTCATATCTGTGAATCTATTTCTCACCTATTTTTATGTTAATTTTGAAAATACTGAGTTATCTCTTGCGCGCTAACCCATTCTTGTCAGAGATTGCTAAAAAAGGAAGTTGGGTCTAGAATTAGAAAAGTGCGAGTTAGATAACAAGCGCCGGAACAAGATTTGAAGAGAAAGTTTCACCTCTGTGCTTATTAACTAGGCAGGAGGTGGCCTGGATTCCCAGACTTCCTCCCCCATGAAATGGGGCCAATAAGCACCAAGTACTTCGGGGGCTGAGAGCTGGGCGTCAGTGGGCGGACGAGTCCAAGGGATGCTGCAGTGTGAGTGAACCAAGGCCTTCATTCTACTAGCTTCTTGTTTTATTCCTTTTTTTTTTTTTTTTTTGGTTATGCTCATGATGTGACCCAGGAATTTACCACTAAGTTATATCCCGAGCCCTTTTTAAATTTTACTCTGAGGCAGAGCCTTGCTAAGTTGCCCAGGCTGGCCTTGAACTTGTAATCCTCCTACCTCAGCCTCCCAAATAGCTGAGATCACAAGCATGCCCCCCTGTGGCCAGCGCTACCTGATTTTTATGTGCCTTCCTCCTGAGTCTATGTCGCCAACCTGAAGGCCCCTGAATAACACACTGAGAGCATTTTGGCATGCTGTAGTAACACACCTGACACAGGATGGTGCATAAAGAAGAGAGGTGGCTTGGTCACTGGTCAGTCCAGGCGGCCTGGCACTGGTTCTGGCAAGGGCCCTTCAGGCTGCATTACACATGGCAGAGAAGCAGAAGGGGAAACTGCCACATGAAGAAGGAACATGGTACAGGCCAGGAAATGGGAGGTGAGGGACGGGAAGGGCTTCAGGCTGTGTGACGACCCACTCTCGCAGGAACTAAGCCACTTCCAAGAGACCTGACCAAGTCTGGGGGACCAGCACTGATCCCCTCTAAGGTTGGTGACCTAGTTATCCCCTGTAGGCTCCAGCTTTTAAAGGCCCCATCACCACATAGGAGCCAGGAGTCCATAGATGGGCCTTGAAACCACCGCTCAGACCAGATGCCATGTTTCTCTGTCCCCAAATCTAGGGGAACACAGAGCCCAGGAACTATGGAGGAGGATCCCAGCCAAACTCCTCAGAACTCTGCTGGAGAGGGTGAGGCAGGCAGAGGGTTGAGCGGGACTCTGATATGGCTGGATGCAGCCCTGGCAGAAGGAAGGAGAAAGGAGAGGTAGGCTATGGAAGCCAGGGCTGGCACAATCCAGGCTTATTCCCCTGTGTCACAAATGCTCACATACACAGTTTAACGTACAAATGGGCGGGGTGTGGTGGCGCACACCTGCAATTCCAGCACTCTAGGAGGCCAAGGCAGTAGAATCTCAAATTTACACACACACAGTATAAAATGGCAAAATCTAATGATCTTAGACTGACAGAGCAATGTGGAGAGGGAGCAGTTCTAGATCCCTCAGGAGGTCAGGAGTGAGTCTGGAGTAGATGAACTCAGCTTTCAACTCCAGGATGGTGCTCTCGCCTCACTGCAGGCCCAGCTCTCCTGGGCTTGTGTCTATGCCAGAGCTTTTTCTGCACCTGCTTCTCAGCCTGGGAGCTCTGGAGGTGGCACAGACAGCCTTGTTGGCTTTGCCCTGGTGCCCCCGCCCCTGAAGCAGAGGGCACCTGCACTCCCCAAGCCACAGCCTGGCACCAGGGCCCTGTCAGGACCGGTGGCTCCTCCCTTCCCCAAAGCCCTCTGAGGGACAGATGTTCACAGCCTCAAAGTGGCAGGGTGGGACAGCTTCTTTGAGTGTCCCAGCACAGAGACCTGACATTATAGTTTGTCTTTAGACAAGACAGGCAGGTGACCAGAGGCCAGCAATGTAGTCAGAGGGAAAAAGAGTGGGCGGCAACTCTCTTCTTGCTTCCTCTGTCCTCGCCCTCCGTCTCTCCCTCCTAGTTCTGCACCCCAGCGCCCAGCTGGGGCTCACCTCTCTGTCCCAGGACTCCCTCCTGCTCACCTCCTGCCCTCTTTTATATGGCACCTGGCACTGAGGGTTGAGTGCTTCTTCTGCTTTTTCCTTAATCCAACTCCATTTCTTAATCAAAGTAGTATGGGCACATGGTTAAAAAATCAAAGGGCACTGAAGGCGTTGGAGGGAAAAGCAGTAGCTCCTGCCGGGCTGGCGCGGGCCCCTCCTCGCTCTCCCTTCCGTCCTTTAGCTCCAGTCGCTTCCTGTGACAAGGCATGTGGGGGATCAATTTTCAGAATCTTTGTGCACTTGAAAATGTTTTTGTTCTAATGTCACTCTTAATTGATGATCTCTCTGAGATACAGCTGGATTGAAAATCATGTCCCCGATTCCCAAGACATTTTTCCATTGATTTCTAGCATCAGACTTTTCTCCAGGAAGTCTAAAGCTCTGACACCATTCTGATTCCTTGTTGTCCCTTT